ATTCAGATGCTTGGCCACTGACCTATGTTTATATGACTTCAGTATCTCTAGTTGCCCAGTGCTAGAGGCAAAAGGAATCTCATCTTTTATACAGAGGAAACACCAGTGTATGAATTAATTTGGATGGCAATGTTAGTGGATCAAATATCAAACATTTAGAAGGGATCTAAGTCAACAAAATGAAAAACGATTCTGGGAAAAGAAGATATGCTGATAGATTGCAACTTGTCTTTCTTTTTTAACTTTGACCTCATTATCCAGCTGATATATTAGAGGAACTTGGAGAAAAGAAGGATTGTTAAAAATCAGATATTAGAAATATGACCTTGCTATTGAATCTTTGAGAGAGAGAATATAGCGAAGTTTAGCATAGAAATATTGTACACTTTAGGGAGAGAATTTGATATTACCTCAGATCATATACATCTCACAAAAGTGTGTGTGTCCTTGTGTACCTTCATGTCTCTGGACAAATTCCTGGAGTTTTCTTGGTAATCTTTTTGAAAGTGGTTTGTCTTTTAGCTTGAGGGAAAGTGAATGGTCCAAAGGGTTTTGTGGCTATGTTGGGACTAGAATTCACAAAGTCTTGATTTCTGTGGGGTCCTGGATGCTCTCAGATGCTTCATTACCCAACCAGGTAACTTCATCAGTGCTAGAAGTAGGAGAGTTAGTATTCAACCTTCTAAAACTGATAATGAAAGTAGTTGATAATGAAACATCTGCAAGAAAACCATCAAGCTTATAAAGTACCAAGGACCCCACAGTTCAACCTTGAGCTACAAATATTCTCTTCTGTCTTGCTTTTTAGATTGGTAGCTTGACTTTTACATCTAAATGGGGTTCTCTCTCTATATATATATATATATTACACACATGCACACATGACAATTAAGCAGCCACTAATAAAGGGAATACTTCAAAGTCAAATACATTCAATCAATATTTTCCTTGAAGCAAGTTCTCACTTGGTTAATGAAAAATTTCAACCTCCAGCTGTTGAGTGTTCCCCAACCAACAGATCAAGCAACTGTTTGTTCAGAATCCAGCATGATCACATTAGTTCAAAGGCAATCACTGAGATTTTTGTAATGAATGCCATTCCCTAGACAAACCTCTCCCTTCTCTCATGCTCTCTCATTCTCCATCAGGTCAGTAATCTAACATAATGCATTGTTGCCCATACAGGCCAAACATTGGAATAATACAAATTGTAAGAAATCAATTGCATCCAAAATTGATATCCAATGTTTTTATTCTAAGGGCTGGGAACTGCTCAAAGTAACAATATGCTTGGTATACTAAGGGGTAATATTGCATATGCTTCATAACAATGCAGGAAATTTGGGAAAAGGAAGGCAGTGAATCAGGGTAAAAGTTAATGTTGTTGGAAGTTTAAAGCCAATGTTGATGATTCTTCAATACCTCATAACTTACTGAATAAACACAGAAACTTCTTCCTAATTTGAATTTAAGGTTCTCCACATTTGAGTTAATTTAAGTTTATGTTAGTTAACTTCATCAACTCTTGAGTTGTGAGCAATTAACAATACTGTTCTTCTGAAAAGCAATGAGAAAAGTCATGAATTTAACCCATGCTCCACACCTGCTATTACCATAGAAACACTGAACTCAAAACTACCCAGTTTTTCTTTGTCCACGATTAACAGATAAAGCACATCAACTATGCTCTAAATCTTGTTTCTTTATTCCAATGAAAAAAGAATATTTAATTTCATTCCTAGTCAGCCATCATGGAAGTGGATGAGAAATGTCAAATTTAAAAGATGAGACAGAGACAGAGAGAGAGAGACAGAGACAGAGAGAGGAAAGGAGAGACAAAGCGAGAAAAAAGGAGAGAGAGAGAGGAGGGAAAGAAAAAGAGGAGAGGAAAGATAGGAGAGATAGAAAGAGAAAGAGGAAAGGAAAGGAGAGGAGAGAGGGGGGAAGAGAGAAAGAAAAAGAAAGAAGAGAGGGAAGAGGAGGGAAAAAAGAGAAAGAGAAGAGTAGGGAGAGAGGAAGGAGAGAGGAAAGAGGAGTGAGCCTGAATTATCTTGCCATGAAAGCTGAGAAACTTTTCAAGTACTTTCTTCTTAAATTAATAAGGCCTGATTCTCACTAAAGCTGTGGCTAAGAATAACAGTGCCTTTCTCTCCAATAACTCTGATTGCACTTTCTCATTTTTTTCCATGCCTCTGATTATTACATTTCTCAACATGCTCTTCACTTATGGATTTTAATCTTCTGATATTCCCCCACAGCTGGAGAAAACCTTCTCTTCCCTCCTTCTCCAGTTGGGTTTTGCTTGGCTCTACCATTTGCCAACGTGGTGCCTTTTACAGCAATGGAAATGTTACCTTCTAGGGCTCCGAAAGAGACTCTGCTGTTTTCATGGCAACAAGAAAGCAACTGGAGAAGAGGAGAAAACTCACAAATGTGTTGCTGTTTGCCTGGGGATGGCTATTGAAAAATAAACAACACCTGTGAAAATCCTTCTTGAACATTTGAAATCAAGTGATCTCGCTTCCTCATTGTCTCTCCAGAGAATTTTCTGCTCTGAACCACCATTGCTGTTATCTGGTTTATTTGAACAATTTTGATCTCTGAGGCAATCAGCAAGGCTGACCTTTTCCTTTTCATAGTCCCTTCAGTTTTTTGGTTTTTTTAAGAAAGTGGTTATACAAAAGGATTTACAAAACCACTGCTTTAAAGCAAAAAAGGTTCACATGAAAAATTGGGTATATTTATTTTGTTTACTTTTATTTACAATTTCTTCAACAACTGTCTTCAGATATTGTTTGAAATGTTGGACTTAAGATGAGGCTCAAAAGCAAAGCTGGCTTTTAATGCTTTACAAGATTTACAGAATATTTAACCACTATTCTCCAAAGCACCTGAAGGCAGGAAAAGAAGCCATAGGTGGAAACTAATCAAGGAGAGAAGCAACCTAGAACTAAGAAGAAATTTCGTGACAGTGAGAACAATTAACCAGTGGAACAATTTGCTTTCAGAGGTTGTGAATGCTCCAACATTGGAGGTTTGAAGAAGAGACTAGATAACCATTTGTCTGGAATGGTATAGGGTTTCCTGCTTCAGCAGAGGATTGGACTAGAAGACATCCAAGCTCCCTTCCAACTTTATCCAACTGTTATTCTGTTACTTAGCCAAAGAAATTAGATGATAGATACTGTTGAAACTGTTTAACAAGGCATTCCTTTCTGGTTGAATCCTGCAGTTGAATAATCTCGTATTCAGAAAACCCAACGTTGGTTTGAAATGGTAAAATTTTACAAAAATTCTGTGATGCAAAA